GATGAAAGAACATCATTTTCCGGGTCTGTTCACACTCATTCCGAAAGCGGTGCGACTGTGCTGCATAAGAGCGAATGGGCGTGGGGAAGACTCTCCACACTAACCTTGCTGGAGCCTTCAGAACCCTACAGTTGACTCTCAGAGGAGGAGGAGACATCATTGCATTGTCAGTGTCTCAGTCAGACACGATCTGGGATCATGGCTATCTTCAAATCTGGATACAGTCAGAACTAAAATAGACATTATGTCACCATGTGGGATCAGAAACAGCTATGCACCCAGGTATCATAGACTTCTGCAGATATAGAGGGCCCAATTCAGACCTCAGGTAAGCACGAGTAGATCTAGGGTAACTAGTGAAGTCAGTGGACTTCAGAAGTCAGTGAACTCCAGATTTACCCAGAGATCTGAATCTGGCCCATGGCCTTATTTCGAGGGTTACAGTGTCAATGGGATCTTGTTAACAAAGGTAATGTTCTCGACACATGACCTTCTTTTCGATACTCTTGCCCCGCCCCTTTCCAAACCTTTTAGGCCGTGCACTAGGTTTAAAGATGATGTATTCAGCTCCACAGCAGGAACAACCTGATCACAAAGAAAAAGGAAAAAGGCCTCCCCTGAAACAGACAGAGATATTAGATAGCATACCCTGCTAAAACCCATCATTAGGTGCCTTTTCGTCACCAGTGAATGGCATCTTATTTAGTAGTTTGCTGATCTGATATTACTATATTAGCACTCTTTTCAGAGAAAATAATGTTTATAATGTCCCATAGGGAAAGACACAGGTATCGGTCTGCACCAAGTTCCTCTTCTATTTAGGGGGAAGCTAAGGCAACAGAGCTAACCTACTGAAGGTGTTTTAGCAAGTAGCTTATCAGCCACAGGATTTACCCTGGTCAAGAACAACTCGATTGAGGTCAAAGGGACTAGGAGTTGCTGGTGCTCAGCAACTTTGGAAGAGACAGGACATTTATTTAGGTACCTTGATTTGGACACACCCCTGCTGAAAATGGGTCTTTAGGGAGTTAGACAAGGACACATAGTGAGTCAGTGGCAAGATCAGGAAGAGAACCCAGGAGTCCTGATTGCCAGTCCCCTGCCTTACCCACTCTTTCATTAGGCAGTACTTTGCAATATATATTTTTAAGGGACGACAATCAAAGCGCAACAAGCCAGGCACTTTAGCTAACAAACCTATCATTTGCCTCTAACAGGCTTTCTGAATAAAGCAGACTCAGTGGCAGATTAAAACTGGATCCTCTTAAACACAGAGATCCAAGACCCCACCGCAGCAGGGGGCTCTCGCATGCAGAGGATGGTGCCAACAGCCTCTAGCCGAGCCAGTTCCAGCTGCTGGCTGCAGAATCCCCCCCACCCACAGCCTGGAGCCCTCCTTTCTCACTCTAGAGGGATACCTCCATCTTCAGCCCTGCCAGACGGCAGGCCCTGCCACTCTTCGACACACTCCCCCCACCTGCCTGTCTGCAACACAGCACAGCTGCTTCACCGGCTATCAGCCTTTATGACGCGCTGATAGCCAGGGCTAGATTAACCCATCACTGGGCCCTAGGGAAACACACTTCTGGGGAGGCGGGGCTCTTCTCCCCTCGGCTCTGTTGAGAATGACAAAGTGAATCTCAGGTGTGCGAAGACTAACTTCGCGCCCTCATCCATGGGGGCAGATTTGTGCACCGACAGAAAGAGCTTCGGTCACCAGAGTGGGTGGTATTGTGACCTGGCACGCCCGGGGTTGCAATGCTGCTCAAATCTTGCCCAGCTGCCCCTCCGTCATGAGTGGGCAGAGACTGAGTCATGACACAGGGGCAGCTGGACCAGATCTGAGTGGCACTGCAGGCCTGTGCGCCACATAGCAACGCTACTCACGCAGGGGAGTGAAGTTCTTTCTGTCTGTGCATCGGTTAAAGAAAATGCAAAATTTGGGGCTCTCTCCCACGAATTTGGGCCCCAGTCACGTGCCTCCTTTGTTTGTGCTAATCCGGCCCTGCTGACAGCCGGTTTGCTGCTGCAGAAGACAGTGTCTATCCTGACATACTTACAGGCCAGCTAAACTGGAAGATGGGGAGTGTTGTACTCTTTGCTGCTTCTGTCCACTGAGTTCACAGCACATGCTAGGGGCTCCTTGCATCCTTCCATCTCCCCACAAGCTCCCTATGTGCCACCCCCCATCCCCGTCTATTGCAGGAACTTTCTGCAACCCCCCGTATCCTTCTTCATGCCAGGGTCTCTGTGTTTCTCCCATTCCCTACCCTTGCCAGAGTCTCCCCATTCCCCCACATGCTATGTGGCTCTGCGTACCCCCCCTTTCCCGTTCTAGGGTCCCCCCACAAGGAACTCTGTGTGTCCAATTTTCTCCTCCTCCCATACAAATGTCTTCCATTTCCCTCTATGCTAGGGGCTGTGCACACTACCCATGCCCCCCTCCCCCAATTATTTTTTTTTTTTGTCTGGGAGATGAATCATTCAAGGTGTTAATGTGTTAACTTTTACTAGGAGAATGGGCAGGGATGAACTAGGGATTTGGTTAGGCTGGAAAGCATTCATGGGTGCCATCAGACAGTTGTTTGATCTATAGACAATTGCACAGGTGCTTGAAGCTGAAGCGGTGCTAAGCAGCTGAAAGGGACTCCATGTGTCTCCTGTTTTCCCCCTTTCAGTTTTCTGATTTCCCCTCAAATCTGTAGGATTCTGGCCACTGATGCCTAGAAAATTCTCTGATGATTTGGAATGGATCTGAGGTACTGTTCAAAAGTTATTGCATTAGAGACAGAGCAATGCCATCTAGTTGAGTGCAAGGCCCTCACCAGCTTGGCCAGTCGCAGGTGGGCGATGGTAGTTTTACTGGAGTGGGTCAGCCTTTTCAGGCTTCACACCAAAATACTGATGGGGAGCTGGCGGGTGAGCCAGCATGCCAGCAGAGTAGGGCAGAGACAACAAGAGGTCCTGCAAGGAGGCCACTTAATCCAGGCAAAGCAGTAGACCAGGAACGCCCTGCCATCCCTTCCCATGTTGAGTGATAGGACATAGAATGGAGTGAGACTGGAAGGGAGGAGGTAGCTTGAAGTGAGCTGTGTGAGATGTTGGGGGGCTGGAATGTTTTGTTTGATGTGGGCCCCACTTCGTCTTAGTTCAGCCCAGCAGAGATCACTTTTAGTCAGTGATTACATATACACACTGCTGCAGGACCATCATGATAAGATACAGTGTGAATACGCACTCAGTCTTCTAGGATTCCTTTCAGTCTTGAACAGAGGTTTGGGAAATTTTACATATGGACAGGCCAGTGGCCCATCTACTCTAGTTGTCAACTAGGTGATCACCAGCAAGAAATTTCCCACAAATATTCCTCTGAATTTCCTAAATGTATTCACTTTGCTCACATGCAGACCATAACATTCAGGACAGGGAGTGACTGACATGCACCCTCTCACATACGAGCCCCACATCAGAAGTGCACATCTTTCCTGTTGCTAGTTTTCAAAGCACAGAAATGTGCTTTAATAGAGCCTTCCCTCATCTTTTCATTTCTCTACAGGGAGGTCATTCCCATATGTAAACATCCTCTTTTTGCTCTGCACTGTCATTAGGTTTAGTTACTCTGCAAAGTAAATAACCCTCCATGTTAGCCAGAACTCCTCATTACAGTCTATGCTATTAATAAAACAATGTTGATACTTAAAAATATACTATAAGAACTTCTGTGGATTAAAAATGTACCTAGATTTCATTTGCCTGCATTCCAGTAGTTTCTAAATATCATCTAACTTCGGACATTTGGTATTAGAAACTCTGCCATTCATAGAAATTGCAGCATTTCCCACAACATTTCTGTGTTTTTAAGAAACTGAGATGCTTTCCCTTTTTTTAATAAAGTGATTTTTCATTCTGAAAGTTGAGCCAAGTCCCTCTCTGGCTGAAATCGACAAGTCCTAGAATTGATAGGAAAGTAGCCAGGCTTAATACACTTCTTGTGTGATTTGCTACTGCATTTTGTATAACAAATGGAAAACAAATACAGTGACTAGGTAGCTACGGAACAGCATCTGTAAGGGAAGGTTTGAAATAAGCCCGTCTCTGAAAAGGTTACAGATGACAAAATCAACTCATCCAACACAGGTAAAGCCGGAGCTCCTGCTTCTTTGACTTTTCACATTTTCTTACGACCCAAAATGCTCTGTTTGTGCTTTATCTAAACCTTGCTCCTTTGCAAGGTCCTGAGGGGAACTGCTGCTCTACGCCTACAGAACACTTTGCCTTCTGATCTTTGAAAAGGTCCTCCCAAGCCTAGCCCTTAGGGACAGCCTCACTACTACGATGATTTAGAGGCATCCTGGCTTTTATTTAAACCATCATGTCAGTTACTGAATTGAAGTTTCCAGTTTCCATCCATCAAAATGTAGCGAGGCAGAACGGAAGATGCCCACACAGTTTCCCTTTGAAGATTACACAGACATGCAATAATAGTGGTAACAGCCCAGTATTCCATGGCACATAAATTGTTGCACCTACATGGGTGCACACTTCTGTGCTCATTTTAAATGTCACGGGGGAGGAATCTTTGGCACAGGTATGAGTCAAGAGCAGCCCTAACAAAGTCAGTGGCCGTACCGGCACAGAATTCCTGCACATAAGGGGAAGATCAGACCCTCAATATTTTTCTGTATTGCTTTAAAAAACCCTAGAACTAACAGATGTCAATTTCTGGACCCGACCGTTGAGATACAATGAACCAGAGTGAATGTCCCATCAACAGCCAATAATCACTGGGGCTGCATTGTGCCAAACAGTACACTTATTGGGCCTCATCCTGTACTCAGCACACTGGTGTGAATCTGTTCATTTCACTAGCATTACTCCAGTGTAGGGAAGTGAACAATCAAGGCTATCATGCGTACAAACACACAGAGCAATGCTGAATAACTAACAGATGCTTCAACACTAGTTAGTAATTGGACTAAAGGAAACCACACAGCACTTACCAGTGAAGAAATCCTGCAAGGACCTTCTTCTGCAACTAAAGACCTGCAAAAGAACAGAGAGTTGCGGTTCAGCAGGCAGACCATTTGCAGCATGAAGCATTGGAGGGCTGGGGGTTTATAGTGGATCACAAATTGAGTAAGAGTCAACACCATGATGCAGTTGCAAAAAAGGCTAACATGGTTCTGGGGTGTATTAACAGGAGTGTCCTATATAAGATACAGGTAACTGTCCCACTCAACTCGGCACCTTTGGGGCTTCAGCTGCAATAGGGTGTCCAATTTTGGGCACCAGACTTTAAGAAAGATGGACAATTTGGAGAGAGTCCAGAGGAGAGCAACTAAAATGATAAAAAAATGGTTTAGAAAACCTGACCTATGAGGAAAGGTTGAAAAACTGGGCATGTTTAGTCTTGAGAAAATACTAAAGGCTGTTATAAAGTGAACCGTGATTGTTTGTGCTCCACGTCCGCTGAATGTAGGACAAGTAATGGGCTTAATCTGCAGCAAGGGAGATTTAGGGTAGATATTAAGAAAAACTTTCTAACTCTCAGGGTAGTTAAGCTCTGGAATAGGCTTCCAAGGGAGGTTGTGGAATCCCCTCACTGGAGATTTTTAAGAACAGGTCAGACAAACACCTGTCAGGGATGGTCTAGGGCAAGGGTCAACAACCTTCAGCATGCAGCCCATCAGGGTAATCCGCTGGCAGGCCACGAGGCATTTTGTATACATTGACCATCCGTGGGCACAGCCCCCCGCAGCTCCTGATGGGCCGTGGTTCACCCTTCCTGGCCAATGGGAACTGCGGGAAGCATGTCCTTGCGGCCCACGCCACTTCCCGCAGCTCCCATTGGCCGGGAAAGGTGAACCACGGCCACTGGGAGCTGTGGATGGTCTAAGTCAGCAAAATGTCTCACAGCCCACCAACGGATTACCTGATGGACTGTGTGCCAAAGGTTGCTGACCGCTGGTCTAGGGTTACTTGGTCCTGCCTCAGCACAGTGGAGTGGACGTGATGACCTCTTGAGGGCCCTTCCAGCCTGACATTTCTATCTTTCTATGATTCAGAAATGGGGTAGCATAGGATTATTGTTTCAATGATATTCTACCCTGACAGGTGGGGCGCATTCGCCCCCCGACACATCTGAACACGCCATAGTGCATAGTCACTGGTGGTGGGGTGACCCCACTTTGGCAGCGTACTTCCAAAGTAGATCCTGGAGCTGGACGGTGTCATTGCCAGCTCGACTAGAACTATCCGCACGACCTCTGACCAAGCTAGCGTGCAAAAAAGGAGAAGTGTAGCCACGGCAGTGCAAAGGGCTAGCCACCCTGAGTACAACTGTGTCTGAAACTGTAGGTATGCCCTCAGGTGGCTAGCCCATCCCACTGCTTGGGCCACTGAGGCTATACCACTATTTTTAGCACACTAGCTCAAGCAGAGCTAGCGCTGATGTGTCTGCCCCAACTGGAAATGACACCGCCATACTCTGAGTAACCATGAATTAGATACACACATGCACTCTTAGCTCCTCGGGCTAATTCTACTCCAAAAGGCAAGTACAGTCATTCAAGATGGCTGGAGAGAACGAGCATTGTCATTTAATTGCTAAGGACGTACTCTGCAAAGACACTGGGATCTCTTATGATAAGCAATAGATTTTTACGGAGTTTTACAGAATTTCTATGCATGTCTTAAATCATTAAAGCTGGTTAAGATCCCAGACATAGCAGAACATGCTTAGGTTTAAATACCAATGGCCATCTTTTCAGCCATGACTTCCCATTTTGCACACGTTTGTGAACCTAACCAAGGATTCTCAGAAATGGACAGGTCCCCATTTTGCATCCATCGTGGGTTCTTAGCCTGGGGGTTATAATCTTCATGGGGCGGAGAGAGAATACAAGCAGGTCCCAGGGGGCTGTGACTACTTTCCTTTTATTTATGGCTAGACGAGAGCAGATCCTGATATCTTTTTCAATTTTACGATGTGGTCATAGGGGGGGGGGGGCATTGGCATACACCAGTCAGACAGATAGGAGCCCTGTTGTAGGATTATATGCACTCCAATACCAGGATTTGCCTGCCTGTTTTCGTAGCCCAGAGGTGAGCAGAGTCAGAATCCAGCTAGACACTCAGCCGCAAAAAAGCCAACTTCACCCATTACACACGCAAGGAGTCCCACTGACTTCAGCTGGGCTTCCTGTGTTTGTGTGGCCTACAGTAGTGGGTCCTATGTTTAGAAGCAAGAATGTTGGTGAAAATAATTCCCTCCTTTGGTTACCTACCAAGGCACATGGATCAGGATTCCAAGATGCCAGCCCCAGCCCACAATGAGTGAAGGGCAGTGGGTGGCATTCGCTCATTGTTTCTCCTGTGACAGCTGATGAATTGGCTAACATCTAGTGCAGTACTGGAAAGGTAACTCAGCCCACTCCTGTGCAATGCTTTAGGCAGTAGCAAGGTCTTTGGCTATTGTAGGAGAAATTCTGAACCCTGAACTCCAGCCACTGCAGGTAAAAAGCCTTCTAGGCGTGTGACAATGATTTAGAACATAAATAAATAGTGTGTGTGTGTGTGTGTATAACAGCAGCACTGTGGCCTCCAAAACATTTCCCCTATATATCCACTGTTTTTTTAATTTATAAGAAGAGCATCTCAGTTCTCTGAATAAAGAAGACTGTGTATTTGTCATTTGCAATCTGGCACTACTTTGAAATGCTTCTGTTTTCTGCCGTTAGCAAAAAAAAAACAAAAAAAAAAACCAACCCATCTCTCCAACATGGAGTTTAGTTTGTTCTGAAGCTCAGAATACCAAGTGTCACTGCAAGAAAAATCAAAAGAGAGGCCCACAGGCTGAGCTATCATTTAAAGAACAGATTTTGCTCCCTGTGTGCAAGACCTGCTTCCTAAACAGCCACCCGGTTATGCCATCAACCCCATGGTAAGAAATGGTGCCGGCTACCCCAGGAGGTTCTGGAGATCAGGCCCAGCGGCCCCCAACATTCCTCAGCAGAGGATTGCGTCATTAAGGGGTGTCCCGGCAGTTCCGTATCGAAAAGCATCTCAGGGATGCTTATCAGAGAGCAAACCAGTCCTGCCTTTGAACACCGCGTGAAGATACGTGTTGTTTTGGTCACATGTGGTGCCAGTTAGCTGTGCTGTGAGAAAGAGCCACCCCCTCAGCTGGGTATTGGCATTCATGGAGCTGTGTAACTGATGACTGCCTTTCTTTTGAGTACTGCACTTTTCCAAATTCTGGGAATCTGCTGCAATTGTGTGAGACAGCCATGGCAGCAAATTCTTACAGAGACACACCGAGTTCCCTCATGGACACTGCTTTTCTCCTTTCTTGTTCTGTTGCTTTCTCCACACTTCTCCTACTGTTCTAGCACTATGGCTAGCTTGGGCAGGTGTGACAGAGTAGGCCAGCCACTGGCCTTTTTACCACTAATTCATTCGAACTGAGTCGCCACCTGCAGAGGTCCCCCTTGTGACATGGGGGGGCCCTGCAGTAGCCCTGCCTCAGTTTCCCCTCACCAGAGTTTTTCTGACTCTCCTAGGGATTCACCCTCTGGCTGGGTCACTCTCAGAGTTCAATCCCTTTTCAGGGTACTCCACATCCAAAAGACACACCACCTTCAACAACAGTCCCAAATTAACATAAACCAATGGTCTGCCACCCTCCTGGGCTCAACTCGCAGTTCTTCTCCCTCTTATCAGAGTGCTGACTCTCCGGGCTATTCCCCACTCTGAGCCAAAGTACAACACAAACCAAAACAGTCTCTGTCCTCCACACTCTAATGAAAGTCTGTCTCACTCTTTAGCAGGGCTCGGACTCCCAGGGCTTTTCCTGGAGTCTGGTCTCTCTTCTGCCTTGGCAGGTCACCCCAGCCCTACCTCACTGCATTCCTTTTCTCCCGTGCTATCTCGGGGGATCCAAATGAGCCTTCTCTATCTCCGCAGCCATCTGCTGCTGCCACTGCCCCTTTCTCCCTGGGCCTCTGGGCTAAGAAAGATAGTAGTCTGATTGAACCACATGACCTTCATTCTTCCCACCTGGGGAGGTGAGCCAAGTGTATCAGAGGTGGGGCTGGGTCCATCTCCCCTTACAGGGACCAGCCCTGCTGGGTCAGTCCTCTTCATCAGTCCTGAGCATAGCAGAGGCAGGCTCCAAAGAATCTATGCCATGTATGCCAGACTTTAAGGAATCTCAGAGCATGTCAAGACAGGACATTCTGGGAGGATTTACCCAGTTCCATGTAGATCTTCAGCCCAGACAGCTCTTTCCAATAAAGATAATTCCCCGGGACACAGCAGCACTAGGTTGAGATGATGCAGGTAGTGAAGGGAGAGGGGCAGAGGGAGTCCAGGGTGGAGCTCTTCAGAAGCCAACTATTTAAAAGTCAGACCCTGCACAGAGATGGTACAGGCACCTCCCTCAAAGCTCCAGAGAAGTTCCAGATAGTGCTATAATGAGTCTTACTCACAAAGGAGAACCTGGCTACTCTGATCCATACTTTCACCATCGATTTTCCCATGGGGTTGATCTCCACCCATACACAGTAGCTGCAGCTGGTGCAGCATGAAGCACCCTGCCTCAGAAGCACTCCAAGGTGATGTGAGCTCATCACCACCCTGCTTCCTTACCCCCCAACAGCCGCCCCTTCTGCTACCACCCTGAACTGAATATGCTGGTCCTAGTCTACAAAGCCCCCAATGGGATGGGGAACCAGCCTACCACGCAGACTGCTGCCTCATCCACAACCCAACTGCACTCCATGGACTGCTGCCCTATGGAACCTTCTGCCCCAGGGCCAGCTTATCTGCCTGCTGTACCAAGAAGTCCCTTCTCACTTCCTTCTCCAAGCAGATCCCTTCAGGTTTAGGCTTCCAAGTGCCGGGGAGAGAATTCTCCACTTGCAAGGAGCTCTTCTGCCAGGCTATAGAGATCAACCTGAGCCTGCCCTGGCAGGGTTCCATGTGTAAACCCCACCTGTGATGAACCTTTGCAATGGCGCACAGTGTCCCCTCGGGACAGGGAA